TGCTTTTTGAGATCGCCCCTCCTCGGTCATCTGACCGATGTTCGCACGCACCGACAAGCATCTGTCAAGTGTCGGCTTCAGCTCGTCGGTTTGGCCTCAATCACCGTCGCAATACGACAGGTCAATCCTTTGGGTCCGGCTTGAAATGACGGTTGAGCAATGGTTTGGTCCGGATAGACCAGCCGCCGTCCGAGCGTTACCCCTTCTGCTGCTCTGCTCTCTCGCTGTCTTTGTCCGTCAGTCTCGTGTCGACCGCTAGGCCTCCTAGACTGGTCGTTGTCGGGCACCAAGCGCTGGCGCGCGGGCAGTGCTAATTTTCACTGCACAGGATAAGGTATTCGCGCCGGCGAATTCGATGGCGCGTAACCTGGGCTCGCCGGCGTAGATCCCCGACTGTAACGACTAGTGAATCTAGGTGTTGATGATTGTCGTGCCTCAGAGGCTATGATGCGACCAGTTTTGGAGGGCCACAGCCACCGGTACGTGGAATCTGACGACTTGCCGAGCGCAGCGTCGACGCAAGCTTTGGAGAAGGGCTGCTGAAACGAAGTCCGCGATCGCCTGGGATGAGAGACGCAAAAAGAAAGCAAATCCTGGGAAACAGCCTCGCCGAAGCGTTTGGTCTGGCTGGGGCCAGTCACTTGCTATATACACCAGTCCGCAAGTATCCCCAATTTGGCCATCACCCGTCACGACCCGTCACGGCGCATCTGAACGCCTCGCTGTCCCATCAAGCCCGTCCACTTGGGTCTCGGGCCATTTGTGAGGCATGGCCGTTGGTGGGATGCCAACAGGCACTCCGTACACGGTAAAGTGCAGTGCAGAAAAAACGTCGCCCCCTCCCCCGCATAGTGCGGGCAATACAACGAGGGCTTCTGAATGGCTGCCCAAGCCCCTGGGGGCGCCTGAGTGTGTCGGCTGAAGGCACTGAAGGATGTCGGCTTCGGGGACTTTGCGGTCGTGCGCTTGGCCAGAGGTCCCGATTCACCCGCCAGGCCCTGGCCAGCCTGCGCAGACTGTTCACGCCTCGCAAGTCTGGCCGAGGAGGGTCCTGGTGCTGTCAAGCGTGTCTTCATCTCGTTTGTCATGGATCTTCGACGTCAGGACCAATTCGGTAAAGCGGCCATGGGCCTTGAGGCTGGATATCCGGCCCTTTCTCGAGCACGTGTGAGCCTCGGCTGGGCGGTGAGGATGATCCATGATCATCGAACACCAAGCGTCCGTTTGAACTACGCGCTCAGTCGTGACGGAAGAAACTGTTCCTCCTGAGGTGGACCAGTAACTAATGTTTCGTTAGTCTGCGCCATGCCACTTTCGCCTGCGGCCTGATTGACTCCTGATCGAATGCTGGTAGTCTGGTCATAAAAGTAGGTCGAGGAAGGTATTAGCCGCCTCCTCGGATGGCCGGCGTCGAATGTCAGACGCCACCGGGGGCCAGGCCATCAAGAAACTTGTTGGCGACAGCCTCAAGAGTGCCGTTTGTGGAAAAGCTGTCGGGCATGACAGGTGCAGTGAACAGCCAAGCACATGACCTGGCGCCTCTACTTGTTGAGCGCAATGATTCGTGATTGAGTTTGATCATGTATCATATTACGCTTCCCGAACTTCGCCAATGTTCACAACCAGCATGTGCCATTCCCAGAGTAAATCGAAGAGAATAACAAAACTGGCAAGTCGTATGCAAAGACGAATGTGTGTTCCGGGTCCGATCGACTTCCATGACGGTCCACGTCCTGGGCACCTAGCGCTTTTCCATTCGCAGTCCAGTTGGAGCAGCAATGAGCAGCAAGACTTGTCAATGTAGAATCTCGACGAGCGTTTCTGCTTTGTCAAATCCGTGCAACCAGGCTGTTTGGAAAATACTGGATAGGAGCTTTGACTGGATTGTGGCGACCTGTGGGCATTCCAACAGGACTGTAAGGAAGCCGGAAATAGATGACTGGAATGTTGCATTGTCGTCCGAACTGTGTGGGAAGCCAAGATCCAGGCTTCCAGTCCAGTTTCCGGGCACTCTGTGAGGGGACTTGGCTATTGTTCTGCCCGCTCTCGGTCTTCCTGTTTCTGATCCCCTTCCGGAAGTCGTTCCAAGGCGGAAGGAGTAGATTGCAGGCTTCTTATGGTTGATGCCCAAGCTCTATCTAACTCTGAGGGCGGCGGAATTGATTGCAACATCATAGGGCAGGGCTTGACTAAACAGAAAAGAGCAAGGCATGAAAAGCGTGAACAACAATATCCAGGCTGTTAAGTGTGAAGCAGATGGCGATGCGGGATCACGACGATGAGGTAGTTGTGGTGAACAGGAGAGTAAGGCAGGCCCTACTGTGCGCACCTGCAGTTCTGACACACCGCTTGAAGCCCACAAAGGAGCTGCCCATCTGTCCTTGCCTTCAGTAGACTTTCCCATGTCACGTGCTTTAGTCTGCTCCCAAGGCGTTACAGCAAGCATTCCAGTGCCCAGTCTGGCTCAAACTCAAGGCACAGCGGCGGTGGGACGCTGTCCTCCACGATGGTCCGTGCGTGTAACCACCACACGTGACCACGCTAGAGCTCGCAACCTCGTCGATGCATCTGGCGACGAGGACATGCTCGACTCAACACCAAGGCTCTATCTTTGGATCATCACCATACCCCAAGACATTGATCAGTTCCAGTATCCATTCGATGCTCTAGTGATATTGCAAACCATTGCACCCACTCGTTCAGGTTCGTTCATTTCTTATGCGCCCGTGTCAGCTCCCTCGTACCCTTGCTTTGTCTACCCTGGTGTCGCAAGCACACTCTATAGCTCGCGACTGACCCATTCCCTCCCGCCGTTCTCCTCCTCTGCATGTCTGGAAAGCTGACACAAAAGCTCTCTAGACACCCGTAACGGCCTCAAGCTATTCAATCTTGTCATTGTACCCTGGCGTCGACGTTCGTCAGTTTATCCAAATCTTCCTGGCCTGTTCACCTGAACCTTGTTCTGACTGGGTTTCTTGATCAGCGCGGCTCGAAACCTTCGACAGCAGCCCGATCGAAACTGCTCTATCCACTTCCGATCGAGAAACACATGCCATCGTAGAAAGTGCATGACGCAGACTGCGGCGCTCGAACCCAGCTCGACGCGACCTCCCTCTCTTCAACGCTACTCGATGCAAGAGGACGCCGCCTTCGGATTCCATGCCCAGACGCGCGATACCCAGGTTTTCCTTCGTTTCCAACTTGACGTGAGCTGCGCCAATACTGGCGACTGCTTCACGCTATCCTTATAAGACGTCAAACCCCTTCTCTCGTGCATGGGTCTGTCAGGTGGCCGATGGTTACCTACACTTGGAGCAGACCGTTCGAGAACCCAACATCATCCCACTTCTACCGCCGCAACTAAGCACCTCCATCTACGACTCGCCCCAAATCGAACCCCAAACTCCTCGACTCCCGCCCCTTCCATAACCTCTTCGAAACGACAACCGGCTTAGAGGCCGCCCAGACACGCGGCATGTTCTCCCAGAACCACCAACAGGGTCACAACTCCCGCATGAACGGCACCCTCGGCGGTCAGCGCATGCCTGTCCAATTCAACTACCAGCAGGGACAACACCATCAGCAGGGTCACGTTCAGCATCACCAGCCCGGGCAGCAAGACCATGCGGGACATAACGGCAATGGGCCCGTCCTGGGGCACCATTCATCCTACTCATCGGGCGTCATGTCGAGCGCAAGCCCTTTTACCAATGCCATGCAAAATGGCCACACATCGACCACCCGTGGGGGTCAGGCCCAGCCCATCAGTGAACACTGGGCCGAGCAGCTTCGCATGCACAAGGAGGCCGAGCGTGCCCACACAGCCATGACGGATCAGAACCAGCCACATTATTACGCTCGACTTAAGGCGGCCGAGAATAAGGGCATCGGCTATCCGTCTCCTCCCTCTGGCAAGAACCCCTCTGGCGATACCGACACGGACGATAGGAGGCGCCCATACAGCGTCGAGAAAGCAAGAGGCCCTCAGGCGTGGCACAATCTGGACATGAGCGGTCAAGGGCTGCGAAACCTAACGCCTGCCTTGTTTGCCTATACTTTCTTGAGCGAACTGTACATTGCCTCGAACAAGATCTCGCATCTCCCCGCCTCCATCGGCCAGCTGCGCCAGCTGCGCCTTCTCGAAGCCTCGTACAACCAAATCGAAATTCTTCCCCCTGAGCTCGGCATGTGCACCTACATGAAGGAGCTTCTCCTCTTCAACAACCAGATCAAGGTCTTGCCGTTCGAACTGGGCTCCATGCATCTTCTCGAACAATTGGGATTAGAGGGCAACCCCCTTGATGCCACCCAGAAGAGCACTCTGGCGGAGAAGGGCACCAAGACTTTGATCCACATGCTCAAGGAGAAGGGCGAAGGTAGCTACTTCTACCAAAAGAAAATGGGATGGTCTGGCCACTGACTGACACTTTCCAGAACCCCCCGAGCCGATCGAGAGGAAGTTTGTTACGATCCAGGAGGACGTCAACCCCAGCCTGGAGAGAATCAAGGTCCTGTCGTGGAACGTTCTCTGTGACAAATACGCAACACCCCAAACCTACGGATACACGCCATCGGAACCGCTCGGATGGGAATATCGCAAGAAGCTGATTTACAAAGAGATTGGCGAGAAGAGGGCGGACTTCCTCTGTTTGCAGGAAATCTCGACCGAAGCCTTCAAGGAAGAGTTCAGCCCCGAGCTGGCAAAATACGAGTACAGGGGCGTACAGTGGCCCAAGACTCGTGCCAAGACCATGAATGAGCGAGATGCCCTCGGCGTCGACGGATGCGCCACCTTTTTCAACGCGAGCAAATTCATCCTGCTCGACAAGCACGTTGTCGAATTCGCGACCATCGCCATTAACAGACCAGACATGAAGAACCAGCATGATGTCTTCAACCGCGTCATGCCCAAGGACAACATCGCTGTGGTTATCTTCCTAGAGAGCCGGCAGACAGGCGCTCGTTTCATCCTTGTCAACGGTCACCTGGCATGGGAGTCGGTTCTGGCAGACGTCAAGCTGATCCAGACGGGCATTCTCATGGAGCAAGTCGCCAAGCTCGCAGAGCGTTGGGTGCGTATGCCTGCCGTGAAGGACAAGAAGCCCTTTGCATTCTCCGGATCAGGCGACAAGGCATCCCCTGTCGTGGAGCCTGCGCCCAGCCAAGAGTACCGCAATGTCACCGATATACCCCTTCTCGTTTGCGGCGACTTCAACTCGACATTCGACAGCTCCGTGTACGAACTCTTGGCCCAAGGCCGGGTCTCGCCTGACCACAAGGAGCTCGCAAGCTTCCAGTACGGCAACTTTACTCGCGACGGCATTGAGCACCCCTTCAGCCTGCGCGACGCCTACGCCCCAACGCACGGCACGCCCGACCAGCTGCCTTACACAAACTACACGCCAGGATTCACTGATGTCATCGATTATCTCTGGTTCTCAACCAACACCTTGGAAGTCGTTGACCTCCTCGGTCCTCCCGATGCCGAATACCTCAAGCGTGTACCGGCGTTCCCTCACTGGCATTTCCCGTCGGACCACATGCAAATCATGGCTGAATTTGTTGTCAAAGCAAGGAAAGACAAAAAGGCAATCGTCGAACCCGACTTTGGATCAGGAAGCGGCAGCGGTGGTGGCAAGCGCTGATGACGGAGAAGCAGCTTTCCCATCGTTAGCCCGGTTAACGTCATTCGGTTGGTTCAGGAATGAGTTCTTTGGTCGGAGTTCAGGATTGCGAGTTCGTCGTCTGTGTTTCAATCGCGCAACGTCTTCTTTTATCGTACACTCGCAGGTGGTTGGGCGGGGTGGTCCGGGCGGATGAGGTGTCGGTTGTAGCCTCCGCCCTTCCTTTCAAGATGGTCTGGCGCTGCTGGAGCCGAGGAGGAGGGAAGGGCTAGCGGCGCGTATCCCGCGCCTCAGCAAATCTCGCCGTTCGCAAAGGGTGGAATGGGGGTCATGGCTGGTGGGGGAGTGGAAATGGTTCACCCAACGCAGGACAGGGGGAGCTCTGTAGATGGAGTGTGCTCACATATAGCTAACCAACTGCGAATCGTCTTTCGTTCTCATCATGCTACTCTGTTCTGATCCGGTGAATGCAGGGCAAGCTGGCAGCGGTGGAATTCAAAGTATGAAGGACTCCTTTGTACGACGTCATCATATGGCGAAACCTCAATGGCTGACGTGATGATCTGGACAGCTGCTTTATGAAAAGGGGTATTGTATCTCGATCGAATTCGCCTGCCATCGTCGCAAAGCTACCATGAAGGGCCATGATCCGGTCGACAAACCCTCTCTAGAAGTGCCCTAACGACGTTGATCATTCCCCACAAACGCCTCTCCGAAGAAGTTTCCACGGCACAGCACATTCACTCTGATAGCTTCTACTCGATACCCGGCATCCAGCAGTCAATATGAGACATGGTGGTTTATCCAACAGGTTCTCAAGACTACAACATGGCTCTTCTCGTGCGTACGGGATGGCAAAGCTTCGGTCAACTCCTGGAACCGGCTATCCTCGGACATAAGACGACACGGAGGATGCCATGAGCAAATCTCCTGGTCCACCTTCGTGGAGCCACACCAGCCAGGCCGGGTCGGGTTGAAGTGACGCTACGAAGCTATGGCGGCAATGCCTGAGAATGGTTAGCCGGCCGGCCACATTGTCCGCTCCAATCTGTCTGCCGACGGCGGGGTTCCCCGCATTTCGGACCAGCTACGAGAAATGCACAAAGTCCAAGTACTGAAGTAATGAGAATGCTGCTGGTTCGGGCATATTGAGTGAAGCACCCCTGATTGCACCATCTGCGTACAGCACTCACTTGAATTGATTACGATACCGCCCAGCCGCACCATGACGCACACTATCCCGCAGACCATGTTCGCTTGGCGGAAGCATAGGGGCAACCCTGAGCCCGTGAGTGACTTGAGCTGTATTCCATGTCATGACCCGCGCCCATACTGACGTGCTGTTTGATTCTCTACACAGGTCTGGGAGAAGGTCCCTGTCCCACAGACGCCGCCGACAGGGGTTCTGTGCAAGATCTTAGCTTCTGGGGGTATGCCTGCAGCCACGCCCTGGATTGCTTCAATGGCTGTCGTGGACTTACACATCCGCAGTCTGCCGCAGTGATCATTCGCTCGTCACCATCGAAAAGCAGCCTGCATGGTTCCAGGAATCCTTCACGCTCGTGAGTCCAGACCCTCATTTCCCTAAGCCTGAAAATTGGGTTCAACTCACACCGCCGACTAGGGTCATGAAGGCTGTGGAGAAATCGTGGACATTGGGCCGGAAGTCAAGGAGTCCAAGTTTAAGCTGGTAGGAAATTGCATGACCGATAGTTTTTCTACAGCTTCACTGTGCTGACGGCGACAGGGCGACGTCGTCGCAATGCATGCTGTCCCTGGATGCGGCGGTGCTGACTGCAACGAATGCTCTCGTGATTTGGCCCAACTCTGCGAGATCGGCCATCACTCGGGAATCGGCCAGGACGGCTTCCACGCCGAGTATGCAGCACTCGATGTGAGGGGTCTGATTCATGTACCAAAGGGCGTGACACCCGCTGAAGCAGCCGTATCGACGGATGCCGTAGCCACGGCCTACCACGCTATCACCAGGCGGGGAGAGATCAAGAGCAACGAGACTGTGTTTCTTTTCGGCCTGGGCGGTTTGGGATTCAATGCGCTTCAGATTTTGAAGAACCTTGGATGTCGAATCATCATCTCGGAAATACGCCAGCAGCTTCTAGACAAAGCTGTAGCTCTGGGTGTCTCGCAGGAGGATCTGGTTCCTGTTGGCATGTCAGTTACTGAATTCGTGGTGGACAAGGGTTACCAGATCGATACGGTGCTTGACTTTGTTGGTACTCACCAAACATTTGATGATGCACAACACATCGGTAAGTCTTATTCCTGCACGCTTACTCGGGTCTCTCTATGCTCGCTTTTGCTAATACCTTCGGCGTCAGTCCGGCGAGGAGGCAAGCTGTTGTGCATCGGCAGCCTGAACACTGAGAACACTATCCACATGAAGATTGGCACACGTAAGAGACTTGTGTACATCTTCTCTTACGGCAGTCAAGTCCGAGATGTCGAGGAGGTCCTACAGTTGATTGCCGAAGGCAAGATCAAGCCTCACGTGGAAACTGGCAAGCTCAACGAATTCGACCAAGTATTGAAAGACCTGACGCAGGGAAAGATTGAATCTCGCTTTGCGATTATTCCATAGTTTTCGTGGAAAATAAAACTTTAATTCATCATTCGGCGACTATTTATGCGTTGACGCTAGCGCTCTTGTCCATGCCAATTCCTACAGCTGCTGTCGTGCCAGCATCGACAGGAAGAATGACACCAGTAATCCACCTCGCGTGCGGGCTGGCGAGGAAAACAGTCGCCGCAGCAGCGTCCCATCCAGTTCCCTCGGTTCCGAGCAAACTCCTGCCTTTCCTTGTTTCTCTCGCTTGCTCACTCATACCTCCTGCATACATCATGGGCGTGTAGAGCATCTGACTATGATGTTAGCCTCATTCTGGTCAGATTAACCAGATGGATCCAAATCTTACCCCTGGACAGACGCAATTCACTCTGATTCCATCTTTCGCATGGTGCGCTGCCATGGCCCTCGTCATATTGACGATAGCACCTTTGCTGGTGGGATACAGGAGGTGTGGCGTTCCACCTTTCAGTCCTGCAACACTGCCCATGTTGATGATGGCGCCCTTTTGCTCTCCCTCGTTCTCTACCATGGCTGGGACGGCATACTTGGCCATCAGAACCATGCTAGAAACGTTGACGTTCAGGCTCGATGTCCACTGTTCCATGTCGACGTCCACGGCAGTCCCAGACGCGCCTGCAATGCCCACATTGTTGACCAGAATGTCGAGCCTGCCAAAGTTTTCCAGGGCAAGCTTGACCACAGCTTCGCAGTCTGCTGCAGAAGTGACATCGCCCTGAGCTGCCAATGCCTTCCCGCGCCCGGCCCTGGAGTTGGCCATCTCGGCCGTCTTGGCAGCCCACGACAGGTCGCGATCTAGACAGACGACATTGCAGCCTTCGTCTGCAAGCATGATGGAGATGGCGCGACCATTACCGATGCCGTCACCTGCACAGCCTGCGCCGGTGACGATGGCGACTTTGCCTTTGAAAGATCGAGAAGGGGGGTCGGACGATTGGTGCGACATGATTGGCAACAAAAGAACCTAGTCAGGATTGTATGATTCGATGAGTAACTTGATCTCATTCAGGACGTATTCCACTAATCGGATCAATGTAGGGATGCTTCTAAGGTATAATACACCATTGAAAGACTTTGGCCCGAAGCCTCCTTTGCCTGTGTTGCTGCTGTCGATAACACGGCATGCCTGCATCGCGTCGGGTATCCGTACTCGGTATGGCGCACTCGGCGGCATACCGAGGCACATGGCTATGACCGCATAGGGCGGGGTTGAGCCTCAACAGACCTACCGATTGCGGGGAAGAACATCTCGGTGTATGATAATTAGCACGGTTGAGGAGCATTGTTTGTAGGTTGCCGGAATGGCGTTTGTCACCTGGTGAACTCAGTGAGCAGGAAGATCCACCAGCTTTTTGAAGGTGATGCTCTGACCCGAACTCGACAAGCCTGCCTGACACCCTTGGATACACGCAATTCTTTCTACCTACTATGGCCGACTTCTCTCAATATGGAGGCGCAAGCGACGAATGGAGGGCTACCGAGAAGACCATCACATTCTCTTCGGCGAGCGCGGGGATCTCGCCAGTAGATCTTCAGAAGAAAATGAACGAGACCCGTGAACAAGCCGCTGCAAAGGCAATGGAATCGATGAAGGACTTGGTCCAGATCCAGGACTATTCAATCCCAACCAGAGACGGCTCGGCCATTGAGGCTCGCCTCTATCGTCCCTCGTTAGCGTCTCAGGATGATCGGCTGCCGGTCTTCCTGTTCTTCCACGGCGGCGGCTTTCTGATGGGAACCCTGGGCACAGAAGACGCCACCTGCTCCTGGATTTGCACGAGTGCTCAGGTTGCTGTTTTGCACGTGAATTACCGGCACACACCCCAGTTTCCATATCCAACTGCATGGGACGACGCAGAGGACGGATTCATCTGGCTTCACAAAAACATCAACTTGGTAAGGGGAGATGCTGATCAGGTGATTGTCGGGGGCATCTCCGCGGGAGCCCAACTCACAGCGTCTCTGGTTCTCCGGAAGAACATGGGCGAATCTTCAACAAAGGATTATCCGGAGATCGCCGGCCAGGTTCTCATGATTCCCTGTCTGGTGGGCTTTGAGGCATACGAGCCGCAACTCAAGAAATTGAGGGACCCCTCGGTGTCGTCATACAAGGAGAATGAGAATTCCGCCCTGCTTCCGATGCGGACTGTTCGCATGTTTACCGAGCTGCTCCAAGTCGGTACACCCGATCCTGCAGACCTTCGTCTGTGCCCTGGGAATGCTTCAGTGGCCGACGTGAGGGGCTTACCTCCGACCACCTTTGGTGTTGCCGGGCTGGATCCCTTGAGGGATGAGGGGCTGCTTTACTCGCAACTCTTAGCCGAAGCTGGGTAAGTGAGTGAAAGAAACAGTAGTGGTCGGAGCTGACGCGACTTGATTTCGATAGAGTACCTACTGATACTTACGTATTTGAGGGCGTGCCACACGGTTTCCGACGATTTGGAGACCTATCCCAGTCGAAGCGATGGGATGCTGTGTTAACACATAGTGTCGGATGGTCCCTGTCGCAGCCAAAGGCCAATGAATTTTTGGTCAAGACTGAAGGACCATGATGGTTGAAACTACCTTATGAAACTGCGTCCGCGGAGGAATGGAATCGTACGGAAAACCTGAGGTTGAGACGTGTGAAGAGCCTACCTATGCAGCCTCGCAAGATGAAATAACTGAATACCCTCTGATTAAGAGAAGAAGTTCGGATGTTCCATGTAAGAACGCGGGCCGGAGCTGTGATGACTTGTGATGACTTGTGATGACTTGTGATGACTTGTGATGACTGTGTGGCCCATGGGATTGGCATCACAGGGTAGATGAGGAGTCTTGGACCTAAATGTGAGAATTGAGAGAAACTGGGCAATTCACAGCTAATTTTCAGCTGAGCCATTCATACTTTTACACATGAAATAACTAATAAAACTTGAAATGATGAGCGCCAACGCAATTTATCATGCTAATACAAAGTCCGAATAGCTCCTCTCCTTCACCTCCTCACATCGGCCCCTGTATCCAGGTGCCGGCCCGTTATATCTGGTCATCGACCTCTTTTGTTTGTGCGCCAAGTTCTTGTTCACACCCGTCATCCAAGAATCAACTTCATTCGCGAGAAGTCCTTCGCCACACTTCCACACATGCTCCGTCCATTTGGCCATTCCCTCCTCCGTGGCCTCGGCGTAGATGATATTGTTGTCCCGAGCATAGCGGATGAACCCTGAAACCCACTCCACCGCATACTCAATACTCCGGGGGATGTTGCCGAACATTTGGTGCGGGCCCATGATCATGAACATGTTGGGGAAATCCTTGACGGTAAGACCCAGGAAGGTCTGAATACCGTCACTCCATACGTCATTGAGTTTGGTTCCGTTCAAGCCCTCAAAATCAACGGCCCGGAACGATCCCGTCACGGCGTCGAAGCCCGTGGCGTAAATGAGAATATCGAACTCGAAGTCTTCGCTCTGCGTCTTGATACCCTTTGCGGTGACGGTCTCAATAGGGTCATCCTTGATGTCCACCAGGGTGACGTGGGGCTCGTTGAAGGCTTCGTAGTATCCGCTCTCAAGGGGCACACGACGAGTGCCGAAGCCGTGATTCTTGGGGATCAGCTTGTCCGCGACCTTGGGGTCGCGAATGCGCGCGCGAATCTTCTTCTCCTGGAAGTCGCTGTACAACTTGTTCGCCGCCTTGTCTGTGTAAATGTCGCCAGAGATGCTGAGGACCTTGGCAAAGCCGCGCTGGGCGTAGAGCTCCTCCCATTGCTTGTGGCGTCCTCTTCCGTCATGTCGAAGACGCTCTGGCTGTTGCCGACGTGGACGAAGCACGCGTACGACTCTTGGCACTTTCTGAAGATTTCAGGGTAGCTCTTTCGGATCTCCTTCATCTCCTCTGGGCTGATCTTGCTGTTCCTCAGTGGAGCAGTCCAGTTTGCCGTTCTTTGGAAGACAGTTAGGCTGCCTACGGACTTGTAGATCTCCTGGATCGTCTGGATGGCCGTTGCGCCCGTACCGATGATGCCGACGCGCTTGCCCTTCAGCTCCTCCATAGAAGCGTGTTTCGGCCACCTGGCGGTGTGCCAGGCCTGGCCCTTGTAGTCGTGCACGCCGGGGATGTTAGGCAGCGTCGGCTCGTTGAGAATGCCCATCGCTGTGACTAGGTATCTGCAGGTGTATTGTTTGCCGTCCGTATCCGTCAAGAGCCACGACTGTGTCGCTTTCTGAAAATGCGCTGACTTGATCCTGGTGTTGAATTGCATGCCGCTCTTGAGGTCAAACTTCTTGGTAAGGTATTGGATGTATTTGAGGGTCTCCGGCTGAGGGGAGAAGTGCTCGGTCCAGTCCCACTCATCCAGAACCTCCTGTGAGAATGAGAAGATGTATGAATAGCTCTCGGAGTCGAATCGCGCGCCTGGGTAACGGTTCCTGACTGCATGTAAGCAGGGGTGCAATGCGGCTGCAGGTGAGATCTGCGGTCTTACCAAAACCATGTTCCACCTTCCTCGGGGCCTGCTTCGAGGACCTTGGTCCGCAGACCAAGTTCTCTCATGCGATGGAGTGAAAAGATGCCACTGAGGCCGGCGCCGACAATGAGAACATCGTAGTCGAGAGCTTGATTGGCGTCTCGGAACAATTGCTCCTTCGACAGATCTGGCTGGCTTCCCATGGTGTGCAGTGGTGACTCCCGATAGTAATGATTTGATGAAGAATTGGGGTCTACAAGCTTTCAAGATGTGATTTGCTGTGTCGTTGATTTGCTGTCGAGTCAATGCTTGTCGTGAATGCTGATCCGACTCAATTGTACAGAATGCTCGTCATGATAAAGATAGAAATTCAGATTGGGGATCTTCCCCGCAACTGCAGATTCAGAGCATGCGTACCCCGCGGGGTACCGCCGGCTGGCCACGTTCGTCAACCCCGGCCGGCTCGGGATTCGAGCACAGCGTTAGGGACTTGCGGGAGTCGAGGAGTCATCGGCAAAGCGGACAGCCGGTCGTCGGTAATCCCAATCTAGAAAATCCCGAAAAATCCTTTGCCGAAACAAACATGACCCCATGGCGTCGACTAGCGGGCTAAAGTCTCTTGGCAAAACCTCAGCTAAGGGAGTAGTCTGGCAATTCCCGACTCAGGTTGAGATGCTGTCAGCCCCACATATTGGTTCGGAGTTTGCGAAGCACGGAGGGTTTTTACAGAGTCTATTGACATGTTGATTGTCTAAGCGAGGCCCTTTGACTCCCAGTATACTTTCAGATCTCGAAGAAAGGCCCATTTCACAGCCTTGCCCCATCCGTTCTTCTTCCACTCATTCAGGTCCAGAGGAAAGTGAGGGACGGCATCTCTAACCGTTGAGTCATGTGCAATGATCACGAAGACGTTGTCATTGCAGTCAAGTTGCTGCAGTGACCCGATGGTTCGCATGGCCAAAGGCACGTCTAGTCCGAACGTGGCCACGTAAAGGGAGTCAGTGGGCTGCCGGCCTCGAGATCGCTGCAAATCATCCCAAGCGCCGCCCGGGCACAGCATGCTGTTACAATCCTGCGGGCGGCAAGGGTGTGGTGAGATGGACTGGGGTACGGGGAGATACTCTGAGGGTCTCATGATCCCGGCATAGTGACAAACATCGCCACCCATGAGGATAAACGTCGCGGGTGATGTCGTTGTACGGGCCAACCCACAGAGATGACCAACAGCGTGTCCAGGACTATCCAGCAGGTAGAACGACCCGTCTCCGAAGTAGTCAAAAGCTGGGAATTCACCAATTTTGAGATGCCGAGCGTCAGTACTGTTGAATGAGATTTCCCTCAGGTTACGGCCCCTGAGATGTTAGTAAAGAAGGAACTGAGGTCTGGGCTGATAGAGTTTGGAACCCACGTATAGTCACTCTCCAGCAAGGGCGAGTCAGGGTTGGCCGGCGCACCCGGCAACATGGCATCCTTGAAACCTGGACCGACAACCAGGTCCGTAGTAGGGGGGAAAGTAGATGGGTCGCCAATGTGGTCCCAGTGCCAGTGACTAGATAATTTTGTCATTTTGATCAGCAGTTGATGTCCTGGCACGCAGCTTTTCGGCTGCGGTTGAGTCGACGGGGATTTCCCTTACCTCCAAATTACAGCCTCAATCTCCTTTGCCGCTATGCCGTTTTCCTCGAGAATTTCCGCCACGCTCTTGGTGACCTCAATTTTGTAGCCCGTTGTTGGAATATAACCGGCAATGGTGGGAGCGTAGTTGGCGTAATCCTTCCGAATGCCCAAATCCCAGACCAGTTTGCGACCAGAGGGGTGTTCAATGAGGAAGGACAATGATGGAGAGGTGGGGAAGGTCTCGAGGCCTGGTACGTCTGGTGCCATGAATCTCTTGAGAATTGCTGGTCCAAAGTTGACCGGGTTGATCATCTTGACCGACACCGACGTCTGCCCCGAGGGCAGCTCTAGCTTGGGTTGAGACATGTCCGCTGTCATGGGTTGGCCGAATAGAGAACAAGAACTTTGCGCCTCACGAGAATGATCGGTGCTGAGCAACTGTTAGTCAATTTGAGGTTTCAAATTATCGGCGATTCCTACATTTCGGTGGGTAAGCAAGGTCGAACTCAGCGCCCCGTCGTACCCCAAGCCGGGTTCGGGATGAAGCCAGGTCTCGCCGGAATGTCGGGGCCGGGCTAAGCCCGTCACGGACACCCGCCCACCCGGCTATACCCTTGGGGGTTTACCGTTGACCCCAAAACCCCCCTCTTCATCTTCACTATTGTTTTAGGCGCAGGCCTAGATGCAGGGCCCAGGGACGCCAGCGCTCTGGGCGCCACCATGCCCGATTCCAGTCAACCGTACCACACGTGGTCCCCAAGTTCCTCAACACACTTGGGACATCGATGCCGGTCCAATGGGCACAACGTCCAACTCGGCTCCAGGTCCATACCCCAGGTTTGACAACAATCCGGGGCCCCGGGGGGTTGAGCTGCATCACATCGCAAGTTCGAGATTCTTAATATCTAGATCCTCGACCCGCCGATCTTTCTGATCTTGAGTTCTTCAGTCCCGACGAAGTCAGCGGGAGTCGAACACAGGAACGCCAACTCCAAGTCTCATAACCCATTTTCTTTCAACTTCACTCACACTCCCAACTCCCAACTCCCAACATGGCCTCAGACAAGAACACTGAGAGCATCGGCCATGTCGAAGGTCCCGATGACTCCGGCGGCGTCAAGGAGTTGACTCCGGTTGACACGGTGCACAATGACGAGGCCCTGAAGGTGTTGGCCGACTACCACGGCGACAGCGAGTGGACGGAGAAGGAAGAGAAGAGGCTGCGCCGCAAGGTTGATTGGAGACTTATGCCTGTTCTCTGCGCAACCTATGGTTTGCAGTACTACGACAAGGCCATGCTGTCCCAGGCTGTGAGTCCATTCTCCTTGCAACCTCCTCGCCATTCTCCGTGTTGCTGACAGTTTGTGTCCCTGCAGGCTTTGTTCGGGCTGAGGCAAGACCTCAACCTGACCGTGAGTGACCGTTACTCTTGGTCAGCGTCCATCTTCTACCTGGGCTTCATCGTTGGTGCCTACCCGGCCATGGTCCTCGCTCAGAAGTTCCCCGTCGAGAGGGTCGCCTCTGCCATTGTCACGCTCTGGGGCATCTGTCTCATCCTGACGACGGTTTGCAAGGACTACAAGGGCATTTATGCGCAGCGTTTCTTCCTGGGGTTCCTCGAGAGTGGCATCAGTCCCATGTTCATGCTCATCGTCGGAAGCTGGTACAAGAAGAATGAACAAGCCATGCGCATGGGGTATGTGTAGACCTCGACCGCTGATGAACGCTTGTGGCGGGCTCCTTGCTAACGCTGGGGTGTGACAGAATCTGGTACTCCTGCACGGGCTACGTCTCCATGTTCTCGCCTCTGATCAACTACGGCTTTGGCTCGATCAACCCAACGGGGTCCTCGTGGCGCTACATGTTCTACTTTGCAGGCGGCCTCACCATTGTCTGGGGCATCGCCCTGCTCTTCGTGCTGCCGCCCGACCCGATCCGCGCCAGGGGCTTCGACGAGCGCGAGCGCTACCTGCTCGTCGCGCGCCTGCGCACCAACAACTCGGGCGTCCGCAACAAGCACTACAAGCTGGACCAGGTGGCCGAGCTGGCGACGGACCTGAAGTTCTGGATCGTCTTTGCCATTGCGTTCCTCTGCATGATCGCCAACGGGCCCATCTCGACGTTTGTGCCCATCATCATCAACGGCTTCGGCTTCAGCACGCTGCACTCGCTCCTCCTCGTCATCCCGGCGGGCGCGTACGCCGGCACGCTGATGCTCGTGTTCCCGTACCTCGCCATGCGCTTCCCCGGCATCCGCACGTGGCTCATCCTCGCGGCGCAGATGGGCACGACGCTCGCGGCGCTGCTGCTCTGGCTGCTGCCGCTGCGGCAGAAGGGCGCGCTCCTCTTCGCCGCCTACATCCTGCCGTCCGTCGGCGGCGGCTACGCCGTGCTCATGAGCCTGCAGATCGCCAACACGGCCGGCTACACGAAGCGGTCCATCGCCTCGTCCGGCCTCTACATTGGCTACTGCCTCGGCAACTTTGTCGGCCCGCTCGTCTTCAAGAAGCAGGACGCGCCGCGCTACGCGCCCGGCTTCACCGTCGTTGTCATCACGTCCGTCATTGCCGGTCTGCTTGCTGTCGTGTACCGCTTCGTGTGTGTCTGGGACAACCGCCGGCGTGACAAGAGCGGTGTCACCGAGGGCTTCGACCATGCGTATGAGGATGATCTCACGGATGTCAAGGTAAGCAGCCTCCCCCAGATGTTTCTCTCTCGTTGGCAGTGACTAATTTGGTTGTCTACAGAACCCTCAGTTCCGCTACATCCTGTAAACTGGGTCTTGTTTGAGTAGCTGTTGTGACCATGGGGTTGCTTAATACCTATATGGAAATGGAACGACGGTCTTGTGTCAGAGGACGTTGTTGGGCGGCTTATTCGTCTTTCGTAGATAGTACCAACTTGGGAATAAGAGGTCATTACCACTACTGCCGTCTTCCCTGGCCACAGCATTTTGCGTGAAAAAAACAGTGTGACTTGTTGGGGGTCAAGGGTCTGAGAAATGTGTTGTTGCGTTAGGAAGCTATTCTGTAGGCAGGAGGGTGCGTGGAACTAAGCTATGGAGGCTGCCAGGGCACAGGCCACCTGGCAACAGGTGAATGGCACTGAGTGAATGCCCTGGAAGCCCCAGGTGAATACCGCCAACATGACTCAGGCGTGCGACTCAGATGCGAAGCTACCTAGGTAAGTACCTAGTCACTGGACTCGGCTCCAGCAGCGCGCGATGTCGTGTACGTTAGTGGCCAAGACGCCCCTGCGTGGCATGTCCCAGGGAACCCTCCAGCGCCCACGCCACACGCCGCCAGCGTATCTTAGCGCTCTTTAGCGCGTGGGTCTAGCGCTCAACAGGCCCTGCCTGGACCCGTACACACAGGGGGCTTTAGGGGGCTCGGGGACCTCTGGAGCCTCTGTGGCCTCTGAGATCTCTCGCGAGTGTCCTCCGGCCTCTCCCCCGCGTGACCCCCTTGTCCCTTCCCCAACTCCCCGCACTTCCTCACACTGGTGCTGGTGCCTCTTCATCTTGGTAATACCTACACCACGCCCCCCCTCCACGCTCTCGCCTATCCCTTCTCGTCATTCAACTTTTGCAGAGCCGATCATCGATCCTTGGAGTGTAGAGAGCAAACGAAATGCCAGGCGATGCTGTCACAGACTGGCTGTCCTTTGACGCCCAACAGCCCAAGAAGCGTCGAGCCGAGCTGGTGTGCTTCGGCTGCCACAATAAGAAGATCAAATGCGACCTTCAGGTATGTGCCATTACATCAACACACGCAGCAGTTTGCAGTGCAGATGCATCAAAAAATGATGGACGGCTTGCTGATGCACCCGACTGTGAGCAGGTTCGCAAACGACACGGCCACGACAACTGCACCCATTGCGCCACGGCAGACAAGCAATGCCAGACGCGGCCGTCGAAAAGGATCAAGCGACGCCATGCCGCACCTGTGACGCCGGCACACAAGTCCCCGAAGCCGCCAACGCCGAATGTCCCTCCCATTGTCGAGATGCCGGAGGAGGTGCCCCAGGTGCCCCAGGTGCCCCAGTTGCCAGAAGATGGCCATCATCATCGCCTCGACGACCTGGCTACCGCCGCCAGTCTACCCATCTTCGACACCATCCATGTTTCGCCGCCAAATCCAGATGTCGCAGCAACAGACCCTGGCCATCGCGAGACGAGTGTTCACCTGCCGAGGAGGACCTCCACCCACCACTTCTTCGCTACTCAGTCGCAGCAGGTCCTGTCTCCGTCACAACGCTCAGCGGCCAGCACCACGCGCAGTGACGCTCTGGCCCAGAGCCAGAGCCAGACGGGCGACGTCGACACCGGCTTCCTCCAAGTCTTCGGGCCCGAAAACCAGCACGATGCCGAGAAGCAGGCCATCGAGGCCTCTTTTGAGCCGAAAGCCGGCTTTCCGAGCCTGCAACAGCAGGATCTCCAGGAAAGCTTCATCGACACGTACTGGGAGTATTGCTACACCTGGTGCCCCGTCCTGGATCGCGAATGTCTCCCAGAAGAGATGGCCCAATCCCCTCTGCTTGCCAATGCCCTCGCGACGGCCGCCAGCCATGTCCAACCGCCATTGCTCCCACACGAGGGCCCTGCCGAGTATTACCGGAGGGCCAAAGCGCTGTTCTACGACGACGAGGAGCTCGACGGCATCACCAGCATCAAGTCGATCGCCCTGTTCTACTGGTGGGCGCCGCGACCCCCTACCGTCACGCACCGCCACTCGTCTTGGTGGTGGACATCGGTGCTCATCCGACACGCCCAGCAGATGAACATTCACCGCGAGCCAAGCGCATCCCAAACAACATTGTCGGCGCAAGACATGAGCCTCCGGCGTAGGATCTGGTGGACTGCTTTTGTGAGTGGACGTTGAGCAAACATGGGCCGTCGCTCGTCATCGAACTAACCACCAAAACAGGCCCGAGAACGACTGACGGCTCTCTGCCAGAGCAAGCCCGCCATCATCGACCCTCGCGACTGCACAATACGCGAAGCCACGTTGGAGGACTTTCCAAGCGACCCGCAGAGTCAGCGGAAAGGCGAAATTTTCATCCACTGGGTACGCCTTTGCGCCATCATGGGCCGCATCGCCAAGAGCTTGTCTCGATCCGGCGGCATCTCGACACCCAGCGTGCTCGAAAACCACCGACAAGAGCTCGTCAACTGGGTCAACTCCTTGCCGCCTCATCTCCAACTTCCCATCGGAGCTGCGAGGACGTATGCCTTCGACAAAGACGTGCATCAGCTTCACCTGCCCTATCTCACCACCATCATCATTCTCTACATGAAACGGTCGGCACAGACCATTCCGGAGGCCCTGCCACCCGCCATCCTGGCCGCATCGTGCATCGTTCGCATCCTCAAAGACATTTTGAATCGAGGCAATGTGCGGTTCTTGATGGCCATCACATGTTGGTACACAGGCACGGCATTCATCGCGCTGCAACAGGCCCGCTCCATCGAGCACTTGGCCCGAGACGCCGACGAAGGCCTCGACGTCCTCGTGCGGACAGCAGACCAGCTCCAGAAGATGTGGGCTTCCGCCAACGTCATCCGCCAGGGCTTCCAGCGCATGCTCAACGTGTCGAATCTCTCTGTGAAGCAGGGCATGCCAAGGCAGGCACCCGATCTGACTGCGCCGGTGCAGGCCGTCGGCACTGCTGACTCTCACGCCAACTTCATTGGCGTTGACGCCTTGCACGGGCCCGAGTCCACCGAGGCGATCCCCGAATACTTTGGCGACTTTGACTGGACGGCTCTGTTTCCGTTTGTCACGCGCGAGACGAGCAGCATTGCTGACAGTCTGCTGAAGAATAAGGCCGAGGGCAACGAGACGAGGGGGTTTCCCTCGCCGACGAACTTCCTGTTCCATGACTCTCTGATGATACAGTATGATGACCTGTTTGATACGGCAGCGGATTTTGGGATGAACTTTACGATGCCGCAGTAGGATCATGTAGAAATGCTATGCGATTCACTCCTATTCTGGTGCGTGATGTCAAAAAAAGAAAAACTTGAAATCAACACGGTATCTATGGTTTCCATCTACTCAACACAAACACTTTCTTCCCTTCCCCACACAAGCCCTCATTGTGACGTGCTGCCCTCCTCATAAGGCACCTCGGCCTTCTCCACATACCACGACAGGTCGCTCTTGGGATCCATCTCCCACTCGGTGAAGCCGTTGCCCATGAAGCGGAACGGGTTGGCCGTGTTGTACGTGACGTCAAAGTCCTCGCCGCGAATGTCGCCCAGCATCCTGTTGAACAGGTGGGCGCTGCCGCCGAACAGGGCCGTGACGCGGCCGTCGACGCGGTTGCGCTTGTACCAGCTCTTGCAGGCACCGGTCCAGACGAGCGTCTTGTGCACCTCGTCGCCGTAGCGCATGAAGGCGTCGGCGACGGTCTGCTTGGGCGTCACGTACTTGATGTCCTCGGTCGCCATCTTCTTGATCCACTTGACAAAGTAGTCGCCCGTCCAGTTGAGCGACTCGACGAGCGACCCGTGGCCGCCGAGGCAGTTGGGGCCCATCATCATGAAGTAGTTGGGGAAGTCGGGCACCGCCACCGAGAGGTACGAGTCGGGCTCGTCCGCCCAGCGCGTCGCGAGGTCGACCTTGGACTTGCCGATGACGGGGTAGCGGGGGCGGTGGGAGACGTCGAAGCCGGTGGCGCAGACGACTGGGAACAACATGTTAGCATCGGGCTTTCTTTTTTTTTTTTTTGTGCCCATGAAGGACAATAAGAAATATTGGACTCGAGGGGGGGGAGGGTGTTACGTACTGACGTCGCACTCGTAGAACTTGCCGTCGGCCGTGTGCACGCCGTTCTCGGCGACGCGCGTGATGCCGCTGTTGGTGACGTTGCAGTTGGGCCGCAGGAAGGACTCGAGGTAGCCCGGGCCGGGCGTGATGCGGCGGCAGCCGAGCTCCCACTTGGGGATCAAGGTCGCGCAGAGTTCTGGGTCGTGCTTGAGCTTGTCGGCCATCTGCTCCGCCGCCATCTTCATGCCCTGCTGGTTGTTCTCGCCCTTCATGAAGATGTAGAACGACTTGTTCGTGCGCGAGATGATGCCCTTGCGGTGCTGCAGGTGGTAGTCCGGGTCGTGGAAGCGCGTCCGCTCGTCGTCCGTGTAGCGGGGGTTGGGGTCTGGGTCGTCGCGGCCGAGGTGCTTGGACGGCGGCGCGCGGTAGTACACCCACGCCGGCCCGCGGATGAAGTTCTTGACGTCCGTGCCGGGAAGCTTGGCCATCTGGGGCACGATCTGGATGCCCGAGGAGCCGTTGCCGATAACGGCGATCCTCTTGCCGGCGTAGTCGTAGTTGTGCTCCCACGCCGCCGAGTGCGTGAGGTGGCCCTTGAAATCCCGCAGCCCGGGGACCTGGGGCCAGGACTCGTGCACGAGAACACCCTGCGCCGAGATGAGGACGTGGCAGTGCTCGATACGTCGCACGCCCTCGTGCTCCACCGTGACCTGCCACTGGCCGAGGTCTTCTTGCCAGACGGCGTCGACAACCTTGGTGTTGAGGTGAAGATCACGGTCGAGATTCCACTTCTTCACCGTGGCCTTGATGTACGCTAGAATATCCGGGCCGCTGGCGTAGAAGCGCGACCAATCTGGGTTGGGGTCAAAGGGGAACGCCTGTCTCATGTCAGTATACACACGCCGCGAAGCTCGAGGGCCGCCCCGTTCAGAATGCCACTCACGTAGATGTGTGCGGGCACGTCGCACTGCACGCCAGGATAGTCATTCACGAACCACGTGCCG